AGGGAGGGAGGGAGGGAGGGCGTGGCTTAGGGCAACCAGGGAGGGGAAGCCTCTACCCCAGGGCACCTCGTAGGAGCGCTTCCAAAAAGTACAGTGGCCCGGCGTCGGTAGCGCGGCTTGAGAGACCTGTTTTGTGGTTTGATAGACTTAAAGGGTTAGTTAATTGGGAGTCTGGTGTAGTGGTCGCATGTCTGTGAGGTTTATTCGCAGACATTCGGGACGCTCCCTCCCCCGTTCAGCAGCTTTGGCTCCGTCGTCACGCTTTCTAGACACATGTATCAATTTGTCGTTTTTGCGCTGGCATTCGAGTATGTTTTCGCCAGCAATGTGAAAGTTTACATCTATTTTATCTGCGCGGTGTGCGACGTGTGCGCCGAAAGGATGTAGATGTCAGCATTCGTTCTAAAGGCATCAATCAGGCCAATTTGGCCTGATCCTCATTCTCATTCTCACAACGCTATATCCCCGTTCACTTTCGTCACTTGTTTAAGAGAATATGACGAAGGTCTTTGCCGTCATTTCCAACAAGTTCAAGCCTACGGACTTGTTGGTGGTAGCCCGTCAAGGTGAGAAAGTACGGGGTTCGGGCGGCAGGGGTTGGAGGGACGCGTCAGGTGGGCGCACGATGCATGAATCTCTTGAAGAGGACCAAGAGTACAACGTGGATGGAACACGCATTTTAGAAAGTGTTTCCGTGCCAGACGGTGACGGTGGAGGGGAGGCAAAGTCACGCTTTATACCGTGCGTGCCCAGACGGCGGTAGCCACATTCAAGCACGAAGAGATCACGAGGAAGGCGGCGCACTTTTCTGGGCAGTGAAGGGGAGGAGGCTTTCTCGCCCTGCACCCTGTCACATTGCTGATGCATTCAAGCCTTGCCCGTTTCTCTTGTACTGGCACACCCGTACCACACAGGACAACCGCGTGCCCTGCGGAATGAGGCACAAATTTTTGGCTCCACCCTTCCGTACGTTATAAGTTTTCCCCCTTCCTTGTTCCCTCCTTTGTATCCCTTTCATCCCCCTGAGCGTGGAGAGCATGGACTGATTTTGAAGGCTCTTGGAAAAGAGGGACGGATTTGAACGTCCTCCCTCGGCCTTATGTTTCCTCCTTGCATGCCCTTGCTCTCCTCCTCGCTTGTTTTTTACATCATGGTCGGGCCTTTGTTTCTCCCGTCACCGTCTAGTGTGCATGCGTCAGTGGAATTCTGCCTGTCCTATCGACCGAGCACGCTTTCTTCGCACCGTTTCCGTTGCGTTTCCTCTCTTTCTCCCTCTCTTGTCCACACGGCTTCGTGCTTCAACCCCGGGCGGTATTATTGAATTATTTTTGACTCGGGATTCATCCTCTTATACCTCTCATTTACCCTTCCTCCCTTCCTCCCTCGACGCAGGCCCATCAAGCCTGGAAAAACCCTGGGCTCCCTCTCTTCCTTCGCCTTCACAAAACGCACCGCCACCAGCTCCTCCGTGCCTCTCTACGCCACGCCCAAGTAACAGGCCTGAAAAAGGACAGGGACATAAAGGGGAATGGGGACTGAAGTGGTTGAAGCGTTGTTGATGCAGCTTGTGAGAAGGCGGGGTTGGATTATGGCGAATGGCGCCTGTCAAGAGGCGCGACCTTTATGGCAAGAAAGAAGCGTACATGTATTCACAGCAAAGTTGATACATTTTTTTTCTTTTGTTATCTTTGGATATTGTTGGCAATTTCCGGTTTGTTAGCTCGATATCTTCCAGCGCCTTCGGAATCTGTGCGCTTCGTGGAAGGAAAGTACCTTGAAGTGGCTGCCAGCAGCAATGAATGGCACCCCCAGGCCATAGGACACACGAACATCACATATTCTGGCTTCAATTGTGATCACTCAGACATAAAACGCCAAACGCTTGGATGGAATTTCTTTTGGTGTCGTTGGGCTTGATCGAGTCCCTCCCTCCAGGACTTTCGGCCCACTGACGTGAAATAAATTTTGTTCTTAAAACCAGTGATAATCCCAACGGAACGATTTGGACGTAAACAAATATGCTCACGAGACCGTCTTGGTCAGCGGTTCTTGCATATACTTCCGTGTGTGCAGTTAATGAGGTTGTTGGCTGTAGTCAGTAACTCCCTCTCAAGACTCCTTCCCA